TTTTAGTTTCCTCAGAATTTTTATCCTCTTCTAGCACTAGTGCACCACCACCAGCTTTTTGGTGGAGGTAGAGAACACATCAAATTATCTTAAAAAGCTTCATCTAATTTGTAAGCACCTAGCAACAGCAAAGGATTTTGGTTACGGTTTGAAATGTAAATAATCCCACGGTCTACATGTATGTTAGTCATAAAGGGCCACTGATCTGCTAGTTTGAGGTTTTAACTTACCTCAGCAAAAAATTGCTGTATACATACTGTATAATAAGAAAAAGATTGTAAAAATTATGTTTTCCATGAGACAGTCTAAAAATGGCACTGTGCTTGAGGTTTTGAAAGGGTGAGAACTAAAGCAAATGATATATCCAGCCTGTCCTTACTGGTCTAAAATAAACGAACTATGTAAATAAAACTCAGCTGTCAAAGGTAAAATCTACAGTTCTTATTGTGTAATTTTGATTACTTTAAATACAAGCATTACTAACTTTTTCTTCAACTTTTGGAAACAAAACTTTGGGCAAATTGAAAAAACAGGTTTAAGCAAAATCTCACAGTGGGAGTTCTGTGGTTTGGTTTTTTTCATGTATGAAGTCTTAAAATCTTTGTTATCAAATAGGCGTCAATAAACCCTGAAGCAGGTCTGTGTTCTGTTAAAGCTTTCAAAAGCCTTTGAAGAAAGTTATTTTGGGAAACTTACAATTTATGCCCTCTGAATCCTTTAAACACCACCACCCCCACCCCCACCCCCCTTTTTTTTTTTTTGGCTGGAGGAAGCAATTTGCTGGTAAACTTGCCAGTCTCGGGATATTGAGCTTCATATTCTTCATCATAGTAACTTACAAGTTTTACAAATGCATACTTTAATATTTATTTATTCATTTACTTATTTATATCTAAAAACAGCAGTGTAGACTGCCTGGGAAACATCCCATGTTATTGTGCTGCTGGCAGCTGGCAGGGAGGGGTGCCTTGCAGTCACTTGTCGGTTACTGTGAGGCCCTCGTTTGCTGTGCCTAGACAGCGAGAGAGTGGTGTGAAAGTGATTTTGAAGGTCTTCCTTCTAGCGTGAAGGAAGGTGGTCTTTTGTCTGACAGCGTCACTGGGGCTTGCATCACCTGTGTAGTTGTGTGCTGCTTGTGTTGGGGAGGAGGAGGAGGAGGAGGAGGCAGCAGCAGCACGGATGGGAGCATAAGCACAGAGTAGGTGGGAGATTGCAAGAAAAGATAACCCCGTTCAGGGGAATAAAGTGCAATACAAAAATGGGAGGAAAACTATGTGGACACTTGGTGTGCCTTGGAAGTAATGAAAAGAGTGACAGGATTTGGACAGGAGGGCCAGTGGCCGTTTTGCATTCTTCAGGGAGAGGCTGGGTACTCTGTGATGCTAATGATCTTTTCTTGGGAATCACAAGGACACCAGGTATAACGCTGACTGCTGCGGGTGTGTCAGTAAATTCTCCTACAGTTTTAGCCTTTATAAAGAAGATGAAGATAGATCCATTTAGCAATTTGTGTAATACTGAGCAGAATTCAGAAGTTGCACAATGCAACTTCTGAATAAAAAAAGATTTCAAAACCAGGGTTGCAAAACTGAGCATTTCCTAATTTTGAAATTCCAGAATTTAGATAACTTGTGCCAGTATCACGCGTACAAGATGCAAAGTTGAATCCAGTTTTACCATGCTGATTGGGAAGAAGACACTGACCTCTGGGTTTTAGATGTTGTGTTTTATTATTTATTAGAGCATAAATTTGGTGCTGATAAGGGTTAATGAATTGACATCTGTGAAAGATGCAATTTTATCTTCACAAATACCTCTCTGTGCTTACTTTGCTTCTGTATCCTGGAGTATGGGAAAGATGGCAGTCTCCTTCCCATTGTTGGTTTTTTGGCTTCTCCCATTGCAGGGCTAGTGTTTTGCATTTTTCTAGGAGGTGAACTGGAGCAGTGTTTCTTTGATGCCTGCTGACACAGACAATGTGAGAGCCAGATGTTTTTCGATCTTGGTAACAGTCAGGATATGCCATTGCAACTCCCTGCTTTCATAATTTGTGCTAGTATTCCCTATTAGCACTGGGGCAGCCTGAATTTTTTTTTTCCTATCAGTTTTGATTTTCTGTCCTCTGAGAGAGCAGAAACTTGTCTCTTCCCATTTCTCTGCCTGTGCAGTAAAGTTCTGCACGTCGATGGGAATGCTCATAGCTCTGAACTTCCAGCTGTGCCCTGCCAAACTGACAGGAGCTCTGTTGATTGTTTCTTCTTCTATAGTTGCCCTGTTTTCAGTCACCATAAATACAAGTATTATGGAAGACTCATGCAAGTAGTGTACATATTATTTTGCTGCAGTTCGTCATTCTACATTGATTTAAAATCATCATCATCAGAGTACCTAAATTAAAATTACCGGTTTAAATGTACCTCAGAAAATTTTCAGCAGTTTTACAGAAAACAGAAAAGTAGACCTGTGGTCACTTTAATTAGAGTTTAATTATGTAACAGAGCATTTCAAGTTTCTTTCTGCATCTTAAAGTGTTCTTGTTTTCAAGCAAACTGTGGCTCATTTTTAGGAGTAAAACCTAAAGCATTAGGAGACCTAAATTTTCAGAAACGCAAAGCACTCAAATCTAATCAAAGCCAGTGAACAGTGATGGAACTGAGCTATTTGGAAATTAGGACATTGTCTGGATCTCCCCCATCATCTCCCCCCCCCAATCCCCCCCGCTACCCCTTGTGTTACATAAAAACAGGTCGATATAAGACTATGGATGACTTCCCAGTGGATGTCAGTGAAAGAGTTATTCCAGGTAATTTTCAGCACAGGGAAGGGATCGGGGGGAGAGTAATTAAATTGAAAGCTCAATTAAAAGACAAGGTCCTGAGTGCATTTTCTTCTCTATTTAAACTAATAGGAATGAGAATAAAGTGGGTCTTGCACAACTGGGCACGTAACGTTCTCACTCCCTTTTTTGATGTGCAAAATTTTACCTTAGACGGACAAATAATGTCCCATAAGTGAAACTTCCTAATGTGAAAAAGGGCCTGTGTTGCTAAACTATACAGTAAGAATGAAATGACAGCTTTCCGCTTTGTGCGGTCAGAGCAATTCTCCAGCCACACAGCAAAGCATGCACTAAGTAACCCAACCAGACCTTTTGTAGTCTTCAGGAGGTAATGTAATTTGTTTCAGATTTTGTTGTCGTTTTGCATTTTTAATTAATCATCCAAAATGATTTATATGCTCCATTACAAACAGTTGGGTCTGATCCAAAGTCCTTACCAAAACTAAAAAAAAATTAAAAAAAAAAAAAAAAATAGTTAAGTCACAGGTTCAGTTTGAGCGAGTTGTGCTTTTGTGTATTTTTATACTTAGTAGTAAAAAGATTTGTAGGAATAAGAGATTTTTAGACTTTTTTTTAACCTTGCCTGTGATCATTCAGTAAAGCATGTGGAAAAGCTTCTCTGGTATTTGTCTCCATCTTCTACTCAGCCACATTACATCTGTGTTCGTAGTAGATCTGCTGGCTGTACTTCCCAGAGTTTCCTTGCCTTTACCTGCTTGAACCAAGGCCGTCTCCCTCCCAAAGAGGCTATCAGCATCACGCTTGTTCTTAGAGATGTTCTTGCTGCAGCTTCGCCTTAGTTTTTTGCTTCTGTTCTGCTCTTTGATGCTACTGAGTATTTTGTAACCCTCCCTTGCCTTCATGCTGGATAACCTCTGGATATGACAGTTCTCTTGGATTGCGGTGTGTTTCTTCGTAGTGTCAGACTAGTGTCTCAGGCTATCGCACGGTCTAGCACCTTCTATGCCCTGCTGCAAAGGACAGTGTGTTTCTCTCACCCCTCCACCTCCCCTGAGTGTTCAGCCCTCAAAATTTATCCACATGCAGTAATCTCATCATAGGTGAGTGCACCCGCTTCTCCTGATAAATGAACCTTGACCTATGAGTGGTTGTGGGAAGACGGGAGCAGTGGAGACTCGTGGAAGATGGTGTAGAAAGCAGTGAATGGTTTTGTTGATCGCTGAGGGCAGAGCCCTTTCTGGGTCTGAGCGTAATGGGGTGGCTCAGAGACAGAGTCACTTTCACAGGACAGTCTAGCAGTTGTAGTATTTAAGCATTTTCTCCCTTTATTTCTGTATGCAGTGCATTAGCTCTTTAATTCTGTAGCTGAATTTCTTTCTATGCCTGCGCACCTTTGAGTCCATTAGTAGCATGAAAGACTTTGCTAAAAACGACAATTCTGCTCATAAGATCAGAGGAATGGGAGGTGCAGCAGATATGTGTAACTGATGCTTAAGATGAATGCTGCACTTCTCATGTTCTTTGCTCTCTGAACTTACCATGGTGATTTTTTTTATCTTTATCATTTATCAGAGGTGGGATTTTCTTCGACTCACTATTAAAAGCAAGAAAATATGTAGACAACCGTCAAATTTTGTGCATTAAACATAAGTGACAGTCCAAAATATTTATACTTGGCATTCTAGATTGAAATGATTGCTTCCAGTTGTTGCCTACATGCATGTAATGTATGGCTTGTTTTTAAAAATCATATTTTCACCAATTAATGTACTCTTTATCCAAATTAAGCTATGCAGACAGCTGTTGTAGAAGTGTTGCTAGATCAGTGCATATGATGTGCTACTTTTGGCAGTACTCGGTTTGCTTTCTGTTCTACTTCTTGCTCCCCTCCTCTCTCCACAGCATCATTTGTTTCTGCAACGAAACAGAAGAATGCGCTCAGTCGCACTTCTCAGCAGCTCCACAGCCTGTGGAGAGTGTGGGCAGTCTCTGTGTGCAGCATCCTGGAAAATATGTGTTCTCTTGAAGTGATCTGCTGAAAATCACGTACTTGCATGGTTGTTCCAGACTGCCTTGTTGCACTGCTCTCAAGGTCTGAAATGCCTGGTCTCTAATATTCCTGGGATTTGCATTTCTGCACCCGAAGAAACGCTACCTGCCACAGTTATCCAAGGAGCCCTGAAGAGCAAAGACAGTGAAGATGGCTCTGTATGCTTTTTATGCAGTTTGGGGTTTGTTACTGGAAGTGGCAGTAGCATTTGGCCCAGTACCGAGGATCACTTGGGAACACAGAGGTAAGAAGAGAAACTTTAGTGTAATATGGGACATTGCCACAACCTCAGGGTTTCTGTGGGATCTGAAACTTATTGGGGCTGTATGTTCTTCCAGCCTGCTGGCTGCAAGTTTGTTCAGGTGTTGCTGACTTTGTGCAGCTTATGAAGTTTTTAGGACCGGAATATTAGAAAGTGACACAGGCATTGGCTTAACTGATTTCAGATCAGACTGGGTTAACTGCTTGAAAGCAATTCTGAAAACATAGCTTTTTAAAGGAGGAACTCCAAATTTGGCTTTCTCAGCTGAATGATCTTGCAGCTGAAGCTTGTTCAAGAGAAAAACCCAATAGGTGTATTTTGTTTTAATCAAATTATTTTTACTTTGTTTGAGTCTGAACATACTAGCAAAATGCACCTCTCCAGCTATGAATCTTTTAATGCTTTTTCAGACTGAGAGGTATTTTGACACTAAGACATCCTGTGCAATAAATAAATCACCAAGTGAAGGAAAGATAAGCATTTGGCTGCCTTCTGACAGCATTATGTGGTGCCTAGAGTTGAAGCAATCTTTACAGAACACCACTTTCCCTGTATTTGAAGTTGCAGCAAATATTTGTAATCTCCCAATACAATTAGCAGGACGCAGCAAATGTGATGCAAAGTGAAGTAATAGGGATCAGAGAGTCATTTCGCCTTTAGTTTAATAATTTAGCCTGTGTCTGAAGAGAAATCTGAAGCAACGACTGTAGAGTGGTTATGTGCTGCTGTTCATGAGTATCTCCCCCCTCCCCGCCACCGCACCTCCATATGGCATGGATGCTCTAAGTTTTATAAGGTTTGGTGTTTGAGCCCTCCTTTACTACTAGTTAGCAACAGTCACTTACCCAAGCATGCTGGAACCGAACAAAACCAGACAAGCATATGGGCAGTATGAAGAAGTAGCCTTAAATAAAGATTTTAAATACTGAGCAGTCATAGTATAGGAAAAGATAGCTGGAGATTAAGAATGTATTAACAATAAACTGATTTATGAGATGACTGTAGGAATTGTTTTTCCTGTTTATTGGTATAGTGGTTAGTGAGGTGCTGATCTAGCTTTTCAGAAAGAATGGTCTAGACAAGCTTGTAGTTCCTGCTTAGACTTCTTGATGCTCCTATCTTGTATAATAGTTAAAATTTGGCAAGTTGTTATTTAATGATATTACCGTAATGCATTTCAGACCCACATCCAAATTACTCAAAATAAATTGAATTTATTTTCATGCCTGCTATTTCTCCCTTTCTCTTGTCTGCTAAAAATTGTTAGTTTAAATATGCGAAGCTACTTTGAATAGGACAGGGAATTTAGTTCGGTAGAGAAATGAACATGTGGAGCTGTATAAACCATTTCATTCGGTTGGGGAAAATTTGCCTGCAAGTAAAAGATGTTAAAATGATATGCTTGAGAATCTAGTTTAAAATGAATGTTTCTAGAATATTAGAGTTGAAAATGTGTAATTTCTAATGTTAGATTTGGGAGCAGTAATACATTGTTTTCTGCCCTTACTTTAAAAAGCTGTCCTTAATCTTGTGGTAGTCTCTTGCACAAAATATGACCTCCCAGGCTTTCAGTCATTTTTCCATTATGGCTGTACATGCAGAAAAAATATTCCTGTATATTAGTCATTTTGTGTCATCATTCTCCAAGCCATTCTGTTCCAGTCTGCATGCTTCCTCGTTCCACTGCCTTTCCCCCCCCTGTGTCTTCCTCTTTCTCTCTTCTTCATTTTCATCTTGGTTTTCCCTCTTGTTACTTCTTCCTGTCATGTGTATTTCATTTCATCTCTGGTTTCCGTTTCAAAATCAGCTCATTGACCCTCTGTAAATGGTTCTGTTTTAGCATCTCTGTCTTCCTTCTACTATGGTAATATACTGAATTGTTGTCTTTTAAGGTGCAGGATTTTTTGTGAGATTTGTTTAGGGGGGTTGCAAGGGAAGTGGTGACTAACCTAATTTTCCACGGTAGGTGGGTATGTGGAAGGGAAGAGGTGAGTAAGGACCTGACAGGATAATGAAAGATTAGAAAAAAGGGAATTAACAGGTAGAGAAAAATGAAAGAAGACATGAGTGTTAGGGATCACTGCAAGAGGAAGTATTTAGGCATTTGCAATTGAATGAGAAAGTAGGTACCAGTAATTTTCCTGTTGATGATG